GTGGACATGGCAGCCCAGGTCTGTCTTCAGAGTACTGAGCGCTTAGGCGTATACGTTTGATAGCCCGTCTGTGTCTGGGTTCATTTTAAAATGCACCGATTGCGTTCCGTGCCTCTCGCAGGTGGCTGCAGGAATGGCGTACATCGAGCGAATGAATTACATACACAGAGATCTGCGGTCTGCAAACATTCTGGTGGGGAATGGCCTAATATGCAAGATCGCCGACTTCGGATTGGCAAGACTGATTGAAGACAATGAATATACGGCCAGACAAGGTAGAAAGAGCAGCAGGCGTAGCGCTGAGCGTCGTCCCTCTAACAGGGGCTTTAAAAAGCTCTCTCTCATAAAATCTCTCTCTCATATGCTTTGGGGTTGCTTTCAGTAAATCCTGAACTCACCTTAACTCCTGGCCCGGAACTTCACTGCTAAATGCGTGTCCTACAGAGAACACTTAATTTAATTGTCTTCCCTTTAAAAACTGACCACAATGAAGCAAAGGTGATGAGTGAGAGCACAGGCGGGTGAAGTGCCAGGAAAGACAAGATCCTCCTGGTGCCCTAACAAAGCGTGTACTTTACTTACCAGCCTCGGAAGCCTGAATGGAGTAATCCAGAAAAGCCATTTTTTGTAGTGTGCCTTCTAGTATTTACTAACTGTTATCAACATTGTGGTGCTATTCTTATTTTCTTTATTTCAAATGGGTCAGAGAATTCCGTCTCTACGCAGTGGAGCTGTCTGTCTGAGCACTATGTTTTCTTTGGGAACTTAAAAAGCTGCTTCAATAGGAAAGCCATTTTCCAGTGCCACACAGAGTGCTGGGCACAGCCGACCGCTGATACACTATAAAAATGTATCAAAGAGTATTGTAGCTTTTTTTAAAAAGCATGTGTGTGTTCAGACTGAGCCATGACACAGGCTCTTTGTAGTTAGTCATTCTTTACAAGTCATGCTTAGTTGTCAGATGTTGGTCCAAGTTTGCAGAGCTACAGTGTTGGCAGTACATCGGTAGTGCTTGCTCAATATGTGTCAGTAAATACCACTCTGTCCACTTCAGTGCCAAAGCCAAGGAGCGTCCCGTTAAACGCTGTTGTATGTCATCAGAAAGCACGGGTCGGAGAAGTACTTCATAACCTGCATTTACCCCTTCCTGTTGTGAGTTTTTTCTCCTGGCCAGAAGTCCCTGTTTCAGCATGGATTTTGCCGTTAACTCTTAGGAAAGAGCTAACCTCTTTCTGTAACTTTCAAGTGTTGACAGAAGGAGCCGGAGAGTTTCCAGCGTGCCTCGTCTTGGCCTGGGAGCAGCAGCTCTCACGCCGTGCACACCCCTCTGAACTGCTCTCAGCAGTACCTAGTCACAGGGGTGTGGACCACAGGTTGCGTCCACCCTATGAGTTGTGGGCTCCACACTCAGACAGCAAGGCCTGATTACTGGGGAGGGGACGGGGATGGGGATGGGGACAACACGGACCTTGAAGAATCCATGATAAGTACTAATGAAGAGATTTAACCACTATTGATTTCAGCCCGAGGGCGGGAATTGCTCCTTGCTAGCAAAAATAGCCTCGTATCGTTCTCTCCAGAATAACAGGAGTGTCTGCAGGCTCTGGTAGACAGAAAGCTGCCTGCTTGCCCTTCCCCTGTGTAAAACAAGAAGAGTTTTCCTTGAACAAGGCAGCCAGATCCAGTCTGCAAAATGGCTTTGAAACAGTGTCCTGTATTATCTCCATTTCTGTCTGTTTTACTGCTATGTCTTTTGTCCCCTTTGGAAACCAGCCAACATATAGTTTGACATGGCTAGTTGTTTTAATAGACAAGTATGTGACCTACTTCTGGCCAAGATCCCTTCAGGCTCCTGATCTCTAGGAAATCGTCTGGTGACCTGTTTGCTTCCTGGTTTAAATCTCTCAGAATAGTTTTTCCCTCTTTCACATGTTAGAAAGCCATGAAAACCAACCTGACTGATGTTGAGGAGAAGCTTAGATTTTTTTTAAGACAAGAAAACTGATTGAATTTTGGGTGAGAAAACTCTGAGCTGAGAAAAGCACAACGCCAGGACTGGAAGGGAGAGGGAGCGTAGTCGTGGGTATCTCCTGCCCTTCTTCCATGGCAGAAATCATTCATATTGTGGAAAAAGTGCCTGGGAAGGGAGAATTCAGGAGATCTGAATCGTGTTTGCCTGGCTTCATCTCATGGTGCAAGTATGGAGAAGTCACCTATCCTTCCCATACTTCAGGGCAATGGACACTACTTCCTTCCCCTGACCTCAGGGTCAAGCTGAAGTCCTTCAGAGCTACAGAATTCCTTAAAATAGAGCTGTAACCACAGGCATCCTGTAGAAAGGTTTTCCAACTTTCGCTAATGTTTTTTTGACCCTTTCTTAAGTGGTAGCTTGTTCTAGGGAGGGGTGCATTTTTGACCAAGCAGCACACTCTCAATTTACATTTCATTGCAATTAACCTGGCTTCCAAGCCAGCTGGGCAGCCAGGGTGAGCCTAGGACCTTTAATTTATTGAGGAAGAAACATGGTTTCTAATGTGCCACTGGAATTTTTCTTCAAGTGGGATTCAGCCCTGGTTTGTTTAGTTAAACTTCAGTTTGAGCATTGCTTGGTGGAGACCACAGTATCAGAAGGAAATGGTTGCCTCTGCTTGTTTCCCATGACCTATTACTTCAGCCTCCAAGGGGATGCATCTGGGGACTGCTCTGTTTATCTAGCTGACTACTGCTTCGGTGGGAATTTTGACACGGGAGGAGAGCCTGGCCAGCGGAGGGGAGGGGGACGGGGAGCACTCGAGACTGGCAGCTCCTGTGGGAGAAAGGAAATATTTTGCCTTATGAAATCTGAAGATTAAAGCCTTTGGTCACTCTCTCCTCAGCAGTCGTCCTTCTCTTGGCTTAAGTGTGTTAGTACAGAGCTCGTTGTCAGCATGGGGCAGAGGTGGTTTTCTCCAGCCTTGCTTGATCTCCGGCTCCCTTCCCCCACTGTCACTTTTGTCTCCGATTAAATATTTTGAAAGGAAACAGATGGGGATGCTTTGAGCCCCAGCGGGCTAGAGTGCAGGATTCCTTGAACCTGTACGGGTATTACTCAGCCTGGTGGTAACGTTTTACTGACTGGTTTATTTTCTTTTTGATTTGAACAAAGGAGGCCTGACTGCTCCTGATTTAGGAGAGGTAAATAAAAAGCGGTTCGTTGTCTGCACTGATGTTTCTCAGCGATCGTCAGGAAGGAAAGAGATGGTCACGCCACTAATGATTTAAAGTGTGTGACTAGCAGCTATACACTGCCATTAAATAATACAAAAAAAAAGTTCTTGGCTTGTAATGAGCATTTGGCTCCTCTTGCTTTTAGAGGAAGTGAGTAATCAAAGGGGAAAAACATGCTTATTAAAGTGACGCCCATTTTAAAGGCTACACTGGCGGACTGTATTGCAGCCTGCACCATCAGGGCTTGCTTCTTTTGGCTGTTGCGACATCTTCCCCCACACACAGTGCCGGGTGTTCAGTCTCGTTTCCTTCCATCAGTGATGATGCTTGTGTCAGTCCTGTAAGGCAAGCCTGAAAGCCGCTGGTATCTGACGGAACAGAGAGGAACTTCCCACCAACTCCAACGCAGGATTTCCCATGCAGTTCTGCTACCCTTAACGCTGATCTGGTTCGCATCTACATGGAGTTTTGGCCAAGCACATGGCATTTTTTGCTCCACAGAGTTACTGGGGAAGAGTTGTTACTATTCTAAGCAGTAGCAGCTGATACAAATTTAAAATTGCCTTCATAAAAAAAAGAGCACAGTTATTTTCCAGGCCTTGTTTCTACTGCCTACACTGGCAGCACTTGCAGCAATGCCGCTCCAGCACACATGAAACAATAAGGATCTTTCTGATGCCTTCCAGACAAGTCAGAGCTATTCTGGGAGCTCTAGTACGTGTTTGTAAACTCTCAGATCATTTTTGCCTCCTTAACACTTAGAAATACCTCCTTCCTGCCCTGCTTAAAAACAAGCGATGCTTCGTATTTTGATTTCCTAGAAATGAGCGGGGATTTTTTTCCCCTCCCAGGCTCTCCCCAGTGTTTTTGCAGAGACCTGGCTCCCAGCTCACCAGCTAATCCGATCTCTCGTGGTCGCGACTGACGGCTCGGCGGGCTGTAACGCCCAGGGCTTTGTTCTTGCCCTTTGCCTGCCGATCCCCAGGCGAGCCGTGGGGCGGAGAGGTGGAAGGACTCTCGCTTCTCAACAGCCAGCCCCCGGGGTCCCGCAGGGGGATCACTCATAATGCTTCTACAGAGATGCCATCTGCTCTGCGAGAAGGAGCGTGGCCAGGTCAAGAGGAAGGGCGAGGGGAAGGAGGGGCGTGCGGGCGGAGGGTGAGAGGGGGGTTTAGACCCGCAGTTCTGCCCCTTGTCCCCCGCTTCCCGGGGAGGGGTCAGCCTGTGGAGCCTGCTTCTGATCATTGATGTTTTGCCAGGCTTGTAATTTTGTGTGTGTTCTCACAGCACAAAAAATGTAGTTGTGCAGTCCCTCCCACACGGCACTCATCATTGCCTACCAGGGCTGACTCCTTTCCTGTTACATGCTTGCTTCAGCACTTCATTTTTACCTTTTGTGGCTTTCCCTTTCCAGCCCCAGGAGCAATTCGCTGCTGCACTACATCCTCTGGTCGCTAACCCAAGAGTTCCTGTGGTTTTGGGGTCTTGGAGCTTGGGATGCTGCGCTGGGTTTGGTTTTGAAGGTATGAGAGGTAGCAGCTTTGTAGCGTTTCTGGAAGCAGGATCGTTATCAAGCTGGCAGTGGCTCTGGGGCATGAGTTTCAGAGGTTTCTGCTTCGTGGAGATTTAAATCTGAAAAAACAAAGCTCTGAGGGATTTTCGCTCGCCTCAGAAGAAGCCATGCTGAGAGTTGTATGCCAAGGTCACTCAATTATCCCAGCCCCCTCTGCTCCTTCTCATCACGCGACCTGTTTATAGCCGATGAAGAATTAAAGCAGGGCTACGGATTGATTTTTCCCAAGGAAATCCTCCTGGGAGATAACCTGTGCGAATGCCTGGGCAGAGCTGGGCAGAGGTCCCAAGAACAGGGTTGAGCCTTCACAAAAATCCTCGGAGGTAGGAGGCAGGGCCGGCTGCCCTAACAGTAAATTGGATGGGCAGCTTTGGCTTGTCATGGTCGGAAGCAGTGCAGAAACCCAAAAAAAGGCTTTCCCCAGGCTGAAATGTTTCAGAAAAAGGACAGAGATAAAAGCTGCAGATTAATACCTCGCTTTGGGGCAAAGACAGGCCATCCTGACCTAATGAATGCGGTGCGTGGTCGGTTTGTACGTGTGGAGTTACTGACCTGCTAGTTTGTAATGAAACAGGTTCCAGAAAACAAAAAAAAAAGACACCCCCCCCACTGATGTACAATCTGCCTTCGAAGTAGGAGATAGGCTGCCTTGTCAGCTGGGGTAATTTGGCTTATCAGATTTATTAACACGCTTGTCGGTAATACGCATTTTATCTGATGATCTGGTGCTGTAATTTGTTTGCCGCACAAAGTCAGCTTGTTTAATGAGCTGCTGAGACCCGGGCAGGGGGAGCGGGTGGGGTTTTTAATTGGCGTGTTGGGAAGCGAGTGAGTACGGGGCCTGTGTGTGGGTCGGGAGCCACGCGGGGCGGCTGGCCTGTGCGAGCGTGGCCATAGCAATCGGGGGGCTTCGGAGCGGAGCTCAGCACGTCGGGGCATTTTTGTGTTCTCACAGAAGCGCGCTGCCTGCGTTGCCGGTGCCAGGCGTTCGATGGGAGGCAGCGCCTTGAGGGGATCCCTGCCGGTCCCTGCAAAACGCTGCTGTAGCGGTGATTCTGGCACCCGTCCGGGCTCTTCGGGAAGCACGCGTAGCTCCTGGTGGCACCCAGACGGCTCTGCTCGCCCTTGGTGTGGCTTATCCGTGTTCACCCGAGCTCTGCGAGTGATCCCTGCGTGTTACGGCGCTGCGTGCGTGGTACCTGCAGCTGTGCAGGTACCTGGTGCGTCCTCGCTGGCCTCTGTTCTCCCCTTACCGACGGCTCTGCCGTACTGGACCGTGGGCTCTCTTGGACCATCTAGCCTCCAGCATGCGTTGCGGGGAAATAGTAAACTATGAGGCAGGGCTCTGCTAGCGACCTCTCTGCCAGCCTTCACTTCCCCTCCTCCCCGTCTACCTCTTCAAACTAAACTTCAGGAAATACTGCAAAATAATACAGAACATGTGATTTTTATTTTTTTTTATTAGTTGTTCTAGCCAGAGAATCCACCACAGCAGGGCCAACATAGAAATGTAATGAGTAGCTACCTTGTCATCTGAAAATCCACCACACGGACCATTTGCCTTCTCCAGCAGTGCTCCTCACAGTCCAATGGGGTTTGTACTGCTCTGGCTCTCAGGAAGAGGTGTGCGCTGGAATTGTCCTCCCTTCTCACCTACTTACCTTGCTTCACGTCTTCCCATGGTCCCTGGACACTCCACATACTCACCTCCTGCAGCAGTAGATGACGAAGGCAAAAATACCGGGGGAGTTGGCCACACAGGAGTCTGAAGAGATTTCTTTCTTCCAAAGATGAGTTGTGTGTGGTTGCTACCTTTGGATCTGAGTATGAAGCACAAGGGAGTTAGACCAGCTTTGTCTCAGCCTCTCAGAAAAATACAGCTGATGTAAAAAAAAAAAAAATAGTTGAATAAAATGTGCGCAACAAGCGAATGAGCAAACCCTCATGCTTGGCTGTCTTACACGCCACCAGCCAACATCCAGGCCTTCAGGCTGCTGGCCAGCCCGGAGCTCTTCGTTGAGCTGGCGTGGTGTTTGTGTACCATCAGCTGCAGGTAGGAGAGAGCAGAGGGACGTCAGCCCTCATACCCAAGGCATGCCTGCATAAGCCCATCTCAAGCCATGGGAGCCCAACCCCCAGATACATCCAGCTGGCAGTTGTGCAGCCCCAGGACATGCCTGTGGCTGGGGGGGCCCCGTGCCAAACGCTGGTGCTGCTGGAGCCGGGCCAGCTTCCAGGACAGATGCTCGAGTGATGGCAGGCTGTGGCCACAGAGATGTCAGACATCATGGCCAAGGCAAATTTTAAGAGAAGATGAAATAGATTTTGAGTCTTATAAACTAAGACTGTTCCCATAAAGCAGTGTAAGTTAGGGAGCTTGAGGCCAAAGCCAAGCACCCGAATTTTAGCTCCTGCCTGCCTATCTACTGATGGAAACACAGAAGAGGCAGTCTTTTTTTGAAAGTGAATAGACATCCACAAATCCTCCAGCACCTTTGCAAATCAAACCACCGATGTGTTGATGCTTAACTAGACTTAAGTTCCTGACTTCAGGCATTAGGGATTTGCAACTTTGTCTTGCGTCTTTTGATTTAGCAAGACTTACCTGAGCAACTACAATTTTCCCTAGAAAAACGTATTTGTTTCCGAGTAATAATCTCTTTCAGGATCACTTACATGTAGAGCGGGAAAACCTTTAGCACACCTGATGTTTTACTAAGTAAGGAGATGAGATTTACCATGTTTACTTTGTACCCTGAGCCAAGTCAGATTGTAGCATGTAGCAGAAGATACAAGGCATCAAGCGCTGGATGTGATGGCAGAACCTCTCCGGCAGGGAACTGTAAACAGTCCCATAACTTCATTCCCTGAGAGTGATTTGTCCACGTTGTAACGCTTTCCACACTCTTCCTGAAAGTGAGGGGAGCTTCTATGAGAGGGTGGTGAGAAGTCGAAGTGGGTTTGTTTCCAAATTCAAGTGTGTTTGTCAGTAGGGATCAGCAACAAGCAATGCAGCTCTTTTGCCTGTGTGTTAACACAAGGCACCAGGGAAATGTCTGCATATTTTTTCATACATACTATGAGTTAATTATTACCCCAAGACTTTTCTTTAAAGTCATACTGAAAATATTTTCCCTAAGAAAACAGTAAATGATTGGAAAAGCAAATAAATCAGTGTTTAAAGGCTTGTTATCTTACCATCCTTACCACAACTGGCTCCTGCAAGCTCTGATGATGGATGAGCACATTAGAACTGCACGTATTTAAGGCACTACAGGCTTTTCAGTGCCAGGAGCTTAAAGTACACTGTCAAGTTATAAATCACAGACCAAAGTTGTGCCTTGACATCATTGCACTCCAAGCAACTCGAATGGCAGTATTATTTTTAAGTCCTTGCATGTTTCTAATGAAATATTAGGTTTGTTTTCAATTTATGTTTTTACCATTTTGTTTGTTTGTTTTGCATTTTGCTCAGCTTGAGCAGGGAAACTGGGAGGTACATTTCCAATAAATCTCACTCCTATTCATAGGTGCTAACTGTGTTTGACTTGCGAATATCACAGGGAAGTGTTAATTTAAAACATTTTGGGAGAAAGAATTTCTATTATATTGGGCTTAATGTTTTTTAAAGCTTTTTTTTTTCTTTTTTAAAACTTCAAACCTGACTTAAAATGTCTTAGCCTTCTCTTGGGATGTGGGACAAACCCACCCCTTCCCTGCTAAGTCTTTCTTTCTGCCCTACATGTTCCACTCGCTTGTCCTCTCTGACCGTACTCCATGGGGCTGTTTGTTTGTTAACACTTGCCTGCAGCTCTGTCCACCTGCACATGTTGCAGAACACAACAGTCACCTGCAAACTGGTACCTTGATTCTCTCTGTTCTGATTAAGAGTCATTTATTCTTTCATTAGGTGCAAAGTTTCCCATTAAATGGACTGCGCCAGAAGCGGCATTGTATGGAAGGTTCACAATAAAGTCGGACGTGTGGTCTTTTGGGATCCTACTGACAGAGCTGGTAACAAAAGGGAGAGTGCCATACCCAGGTAAGAAAACAGTCTGAGCCCTGCTTCTCCTGGGGAAAGGGGTGGGAACGAGCCATGTGCTTAAATCAGAATGTTTATTTATTTTCACTGGGCTCAGAGGAGGATGGTTATCATGCGTAAGTTCTGTGTACGCTTGAAAATGGTCCTGACTCTGAAAGCTGCTGTGTGATGGTCATGATAAAAATGACGAGAGAACAGAAAATCCAACATATTAATTTCAAAAATTTTTAATTGTTCTCAGTTCGATTAATATATGTTCTAGACGAATAATGAACGCAATGTAAAATTACTGTGCTGTGGAGCAAATGGCTCTCCACAGTATTCCATTCACATTAAGATACCAACAGTCAAACTCCCAGAGTGGCATTACTCCACTTACTCTGTCAGTCTGGTTCTCGGCAAGGTTTGATGACTGTCTGAATGTCTGGTATTACCAAATCACTTTTTTATAAACTCTTAAATTTCAATCCTTGCTTTTGAGATGGATGGAAAGGAAAGAACATAATTCTGTAATGTGCAGGCCAGAGCTCATAGCAGGGTCACAGCAGGGCCAGATTCTCTGCATGGGGGAACCGGAGGCCCCATGGCTTTTTGTTGAAACCCTGCCAAGTATCCAATGGATTAAGATTTGTAGGAGGGGTGATTGGATCTGCCTGTGCAGAAAGAGCTTTTCATTCTGCTGCCCCCCTGAAGATTGTAGGCATTCAGGTGAAGAGGAAAGGGGTGAGGTGAAAGGAGTGCATCACATGGAAAAGAATTTAATCCCTTTATTTTCTTATCAGCACAGATACTAACAACAGGGCATCTAGCTGCATCTGTATACTTTTTATTTAAAAAAAATATTCTTTAAATACTCGCCAGTATGGCTGTGTGCACTGCTTTAGTGTCCTAAAGCAGTTTTGAATTGCCAATCTCTGCTGTGATCAAGCAGTCAGATGCATACACCAATTCCACAGGAGAAGCGTGAAGGTGGACTGCAGTTTATCCTGTGATATCTCACACCACTTCAGAAGGCTGAACTCAGCAAAACTAAACTCCCAGAGTTTTGCCAGGGATTTCAACTTTGCTAGCGCCTAGCAGCCAGTAGCTGATATTTGGGATGAGAATATGGGGACTGGAAGGCTTCTCGTGACCAGCGGTGAATTTTGGCATGATTAACTGGGAGCAGCTTAGCAAAGCTGTAACTGTGACAACAGAATGAGGTAGCAGAAAGCGAGATGACATGTTTCTGTGGGATGGATGAGTCCCTCTGCCCAGCACTTCCCCATGCGGTTAGAGAAAAGCGGGTGTTGCCACCACAGGGAGTGGCTGTGTCCCTGGCCGGCACAAAGGTCGTCTCGCCGTGAGGATTGCATGTCTCTCGGCATGGGAGAGCCGTGATTTCCACAGGTTTATTGAGGGTTTAATGCAGGCATGGCACAGCATGCAAAGGTCGAAGATGGAAAGAAGATGTGTCAGACGATAGCTGAGACGATGTTGCTCCCAGAGGGTGGGCAACGCTCCTCGCCGGGCTGCAGGAAGAGGAAAGTCCGAGTCACTACCAGCAGAGCGGGTGCAGAGGGGCTCTTGCCAGCCAGGGCAGAGTGAAGGTGTTTTTTTTTTCCCTGAGCTCTACATTGGTGGGGCAGAGATGCGTAGTGACTAGCCTTCTCTCTTATCAGCTGCATGAGCAGAGACACACGCGCACACACAGGAAAAAATACTATTCCGGGCAAAAGTGACCATCTAAGCCCTGTGTTAACTCACGAGTTTGTAACTGAACACAGAGTTGGCCGTGGCAGCAGGGGATGTCTGCACTTCCCAAGTGTTCCTTTCCCTCCCTGAAAGAGAAGGAGGCCACTGGATGTGCGTTTAACTGCTTGCAATATATAACTTCTTGTAGGGCCCATGACAGAAATCTCAGGCATGGTCTGTGTCCTGAAAATGTGGACAGTTTTATTACGTGGCGGTTTGAGCACATCAAAGACAACTAGCGGCGTCTCTCCTCTCTCAGCGCCGTCCTCCCCCTTCATCCCTGACTGCAGGAAGCCCTCACACACTGCAAGTCCTTCCGGCTCACTCTCCCCCACCCACGCTGGGAAGACATCAAGTAGCTGGAAGCAGCTTGTTGTGTGTTACGTATCAGAGGGTCAGCGGTTCCCTGGATGATCATGTACTGTCTCGGTTACGCTCTGTCTGAGCTCTATGCCAGGGCTCTTCCTCCCCACCGGGACTCCCACCCTGCTCAGCCAGGAGGCTTTAACCATCTTCATGATCACCATCACTCCTCTCTCTTGACAGTTTTACCTAAGGGCAGCCTCTATTTTAAATTTGCATTTCCAAAGTCTTCAGGTATTTAATTTCGGTCTCATTCCCCTGACCCTAACTGGGAAAACGTTTACAGGCTGAGGCAACGATGTAGAACTGGGGCCTTCTCAGAAGGGTCTGTCTTTGCATGTGGGTTGAAAATAGAGCTCAGACTTCCCAAGGTGACAAAGACCTCCTGAGCTCCTCAGAAAAGGCTCTATTTTCCCCTGACATAGAAATGATCATCCATCTCCTGCTTCATGCTGGGAGGAGGAAGGACCTCCTGAAAGGATAAAGTTTCATGAATTCAGATCCCTGTCTGGAGCAACGTCCTGGTTTCGGCTGGGATAGGGTTAATTTTCTTCCTGGTAGCTGGTATAGTGCTGTGTTTTGGATTTGGGATGAAAATAATGTTGATAACACACTGATGTTTTGAGTTGCTGCTAGGCAGTCAAGGACTGCTCAGCTTCTCGTGCTGGCCTGCCATCAGGAAGGCTGGGAGTGCACGGGGAGCTGGGAGGGGACACAGCCAGGACAGCTGACCCAGGCTGGCCAAAGGGATATTCCCTACCATATGGCATCATGCTTGGTATATAAACTGGGGGAGTTGGCCGAGGAGGGGCCACAGCTCAAGAACTAACTGGGCATCAGTCAGCGGGTGTTGAGCAATTGTGCTGTGCATCACTTGTTTTGTATATTCTTTTATCATTATTATTATCATTATCGTTATTATTCTTCTCTTCCTTTTCTGTCCTATCAAACTGTCTTTATCTCAATCCACGAGTTCTACTGGGGGTAGGGGGGTGAGCAAACGGCTGTGTGGTTGTTTTCACTACCTGCCGGGTTAAACCACAACAGGCAAGGAGTAGGTTTCAGATGCACCCACAGGGCTTTTCCTGTCGTCGCGGCACGGCTTGCACGTGGAGGAAAAGATGGGAGTTCAACCACCCTGAAAGGCAAGACTCAACCCTCCTCACCCAAGTAGTAAACCTATAGGTGAGAGAATGCAGTTTGTAGGCACTGCCAACCACTTTGGCACCCAAGGCGTGTGGATTTGCAAGCTCTGGAAAGGGTCAGCCTTGAAACAAAGAGGGTCATGGAGCTGTCACTCTGCTGTAATACCCAGTTTCTGAAATAGTTGTGGGCATGTTGTCCTGATGTTCCTGCTTACAGCTTATAGCAAGCTGGGGGGAGCAGGGAGAGGCCCTCAGACAAAGGGATTGCTCTCTTGCTTGACAAAATCTTAGTGCCTGGAGAGGTTATTTATAGCACACACCCCAGTCCTGTGGTGGTAACCATGCCCGCAGGGCACTGTACCTCATGCCTTGGAGAGCCAGGCATTGTTTTAAGCTTGTGTAGGAGAAGGGAGAAGCACAACAAGGAAGACAGAAGGAGAAGGCAGGCAGTATCTAGGAGGGGAACAGACTATGTGGAACAGGACTTGGCATTCATTGTCCCCCGGATTTTATCCAGTTCCTGTCCTGATGCCCCATTTTGGAAGAGAAGCTGGAAGCAGTGGAGGTAAAAATTTTGCCAGCAGAGATGAAGATCACGGTAGAGTTCATAATCAAGCCTTGCCCCAGACCCTACAGCTCCCATAAGCAGCACTGACTTTTTGACAGGTGTCCTCATCTTCGTCCTTCAACCAAACCTGTTCCTCTGTCAGTGGACGTAACGGACTGCTATGATAACTAATTTATTAGTGCTTTTCCTAGCCTTCCCTAATGCCCCATTCTTTTCACAAGGCAGCAGATTGAAATAAGCAACTTGCGCAGTCTTTCTGTGCATCGAGGTTCTGTTAACACTATTACAGTGGGTAAATAAAATGGGAAGAAGAGGAGCCAAGTTTAAAAAATAGTCTGCTTAGTTGACCTTTTTCAGAATCTGTTTCTTTCCCCTTTCACAAATTCCCCTTGAATCTTAGTTTTGCTTTTTTTGATGGAGTTTAAGAGTAGGAGGCTGCATTTCGGTAGCAGTAGTCAGAGAATTTGGGGGTTTTTTACATGTTGCCTTTTGGATAGACAAAAATCTCAGCTGCACTAAACAAGCACCTCTGAACTTGCCCCTCCTGCCTTCTTCTTGTCACATCAGGAGCATTTACATTTTATGTCCAGCGTGACAGCCACCACAATGCTATCCACTTCGCTGCCTCTGGCCAGGCAGGTCTTTGAGTTTGGGCTCCAAGCAGCTCTGCAGTCCCTGGGGAGCTGTGTTCAGCCTCCTCAACCCTGGGGGAAGCTGGGCCACAAGTGCCAGCAAGCGCATGGTGTGCTGCCCGAGGCTGGGGCCAAGTGCACATCAGCGAGTCTGCCTATGTGTGTGTACCTTCGCCATGGGTGGTAGGTAAGGAGTTGAGAGGTGCGTACTCAGGACACAGCACAGATAAGCTCAGGTGGGTTTCTTTGTAAGCAGGAAAGCTCCACTCACAAATGCTGTAGCTCTTATACCAAGCAAATAATAACTTATTTAAAGTTAAAAAAAAAACCAAAACACCAAAAAAACCAAACCCAACAGATGTTGATAGCCTAGCTTTGTGGGTGTTTTGAGGATGACAAATTTTGGGGGGGGTTCAGACCTTTTCAGGCCACTAAATGAAGTGGCCCGACTTCCAGATTTTTAAAACTTGTTACTACTTTTGCATAGATATAGGTCCACTAGGTTCATATTGTTCTCAGTAAGAACAGCATTATGCTTCAAAGGTTGTCTTCCTGTAGGAGCAGCTTTCCTGCTCCCTTCAGTGCACTATCGTGCCTGTGTATGGAATAATCTCCCTGCCTAAGTCCCATATCCCATCCCTGTGCCCTCACTTCCAGCTCTTCTTTGGGGCTGTCCATGGAAGTTAGAAATTCTGCTTCTAGATCAAACTGAGCAAAACCCAAAAATCAACCTCTCTCCTTTGTACTTCTCTCTTTTGAGAGCATGCTCACAGTGCCAGCGTGATCCAGCCCCTCTGGAGGACTACACAGTTTTACCTTCTCAACTGTACTAGAAAAGGGCCAACATGTCCACATCTGAGGAACCTTTGAGCATGAGCAGAGGCATAGCTCTGGGTTCTTGGAGAATCTGACATAGAGCGTTTCTGGGGATGGAGAGCAGCTGAGCTGCTGTTTTAAGAGTCCTGCTTTAAACGTTTGCGTCTGTATGAGTTTGATCATTGGTCTGAAAGCATGCAGTGGGTCTTGAAGGAGCATGATTCTTAGTCCAACAGAAGAAAGCAAGAATAAAGCAGCTTAAAACCATCACTGTCCTCACTAGACTTCACATTGCCCAAAGTAATCTATATAGCTTATTAGCTTTGGATGTGGGCATGCTGCCTAGTTACAGCAACGTTTCCTGTTTTCTGGAAGAGCAACGTTGCCCAGAGTTCTGCTATTTGCACATCTGCTGTGCTGCATCTAATCAAGCTTCTCAGAGCACTCCAAAGCACTTGCTGGTGTTTTCTTCAGCCACAGCTGGAAACTTTACATCCTCTTTTATGTCACAGTAACCCTTCCTAACACAGCTTTTCTAGAAAAAGTCAAGCAGCATTGTGTTTATGTCCCCAGTCCATATGGGCAGTAGATTTTTATTGTATCAAGCATTAAAGTAGCCATACCCTGTGGCATCTTAAGATTATTGGAGGTTTCACTAATAAAGCTGGATGGTGGGAAGTTATTTAATTTTTGGTCTTCTCAGGGAATAAAAAGCTAATGGAAAAGCCATCTTTTGGAAATGAGATGCTTCCTTCTTGGTCCAAATGGTAGTTCTAGAAGCATCATGAGCACAAACTGATTTTTCAAGCAGGTGAAGAAAAGAATATTCTGTCTACAGAAGAATATTGCTGACTATTTTATTCCACAGATTTAAGGATTTTAGGATAAACTTTTAAGAGGTCTAGAAGTTTACTGCAAACAGAATTTAGTTTATTATTTACGAAAAGACTTGAAACTCTCGGGTATTCATTAGGAGAGAGCAGTTGTACAGCCTGCTCAAATATTCTTTCTGTGGTATTAGAAGTACAGATACAACAGGCTCCTGCTATCAAAAGAGAAACACTAAACTTGTAGGATAAGATAAATGAGTCTAGATAATAGGTTTGTAAACATAAACAGGCCTTTTAAGAGGTAAAAAGTATGCCTGAAACACTGCTATTTTTATAAGTCTGACTAATAAGCCAGTCGATTTTGAAAAAAAAAAATAGATTTGAAACTCCTTTTTTAAATTAGCAGCACACATCAAAACCAACAGAATTTCTTTGGCAAATCTAGGTGCTGCAGCCCTTGCTGGGTGTATGAATTCCAGTAAGGAACATGAGGATTACTTGGTTTAGTTTCCTATCTGGGCTTTACTGGGAAGAAGGCAAAAGAAGAAAGGAAAAGAAGGGCGTTTTCCTGGATTACACCATGATGAGAAAACCTGGCTTAACTGACTTTCCAGGGACAAAAAATTACTATGATTTCAGACAGCAATGTCTCTTTTATGTTCTTTTTTCTATCTTTTTTTTTTAAAAGGAAAGTGAAGAGCTGTTTATGGTTTTCCCCCCACCTCTCTCTCCTCAGGGTTTTTCGTCCAGCATACAGTTTGTTATCAAGTTTCAGAGTGTGCTTTGCAGAACTGAGTAATGCACTGGATAAAAATACCAAACATTTGATGTCTTCAAATAACAAATCAGGTGGGAAGGAGCTTTTCTGCTGCTGTTGCTTCCACCCATATTGTACTTAAAGGGGTACTGCCAAAATAAAAAAAAATTGCATTTTGTCTATGGTTTAGGTATATAAAATAGATGAGTTACAGGTAACACTTATTTTCATAGCCTTTAATATGTAAAGGAAGCAAAGCAAAGCAGAAGTTCTTACCGCAAAACATGCCGTAATTCAGCTGATTCAAAGACAGGGATATGAAAAAAGGGTGCAGAATTTTGTTCAAAACGCAAATTTAAAAAACTAATAACTGAGAACAGAACATGAGCAAAATGCCCATTTTTTTCTTGTAGCATCTTGAAAAGCAAGGCCTGAAGTTTTGCGTTGATGGTGCTTTTGGGTTGGTGATGACGAACAGACCACTGTTTTGTAATTTAATAAAAAAGTAAAATATGTTTGAAAACGTTCTTGTTGGATAATAAGGAACACCCAAATGTTTGTTCAGTGTGTGGCAAGCTTTTCTGGTTTGTTGTGAGCCTGTGTGACCTAAAAAAATCAGTTTGGAGTCAGTAATGCAGGAGAACCTTAACTCTATGCAGAATCTGATGTCTGCAAAGGACCATTATTACTCTTATTTTCATCATTCTGTGGAGTCCGAACCACAGACCACTTTAGGTGCCGTACAATGTGTTTGCTCCTACTCATAAACAGCTAACACCAAAAATGCAGTGGGTGGATGCAGGTGATGAATCAAACACAAGAAACCAGTGCTGAAGTGTTGGTCTGCAGGTTAGGAAATACCATAAATTAGTAATCTAGCCTTTCTTTTCACAGTTATCACTGCTAAAGGGAACGGTAAGGAGAGGTTTGTAGGAGGATGAGGCAGTTGTCTGGAGAGGTTCCTCCACGTGCAACAGGCAGAATAAGAAACAGCACATCAGTGCTTGTTTGAAAATGGAAGGTGCTGCAGTAAGCTAACCAGAACTGTGACTCGACGGGGACGTGACCAAATGGAAGCCTAAATGCTAGTGGGGCAGCCTGTGAGAGGCTTTGAAAGTGAAGACAAGCAGCTGGTATTTTAGATAGTAAGCAATGAGGAGTGAGTGGCAAGACCGTGCAAGAGGTGGTTACAGCAACAGGCTAGGAAAATGATCCTTGCGGACACACTGCAAACAAATACCAGCAGGAGGAAATTACCCCGTCAAGATAAGAGGAAAAGGTGTTTCGTAATCCTAACATGAGATGAGAATCTAGATGTGGATGGCCAGGAAAGGTATTTTGCAGATACTTCTTTCAAAACATCTTTAAGAATTAAACACAGCCAGGACGTGAGGACACAGAGTAAAGACCAAATCCAAGGATACAGCTAAGTTACCAATCTAAATCCTATGCAGTGCAAGGATGTTATTCCCACTAGTTAAGGTGTAGAGCAGGCAAATTAATCTGTACTGAAGGTGGTTTAATTGTTTCTCACAAATAAGTTTACCAAAAATACAAGGTAGGACTCCTGGGTCCTGAAGGTGGGACAAGACAATTCTTCAAAAGGACACCCTGAAAGAACAGCGTGGAGGAGACCCAGGGAAGGGTGGTGTCGTGGAGGGCAGGGCGAGGATAAGCTAACAGAAAGAGCAACATCAAGGTGCTGGTTTCTAGATTTGGTCATGGAGGAACTTAAATGTCCCTACTAGTTCTCCTGCGGAGCTGCTTGGCAGGACCCACTAAGTCAGGGGACTGAAGCCTGCAGATACTTTGCAGCAGAGGAGTGGGGCAGTGCTTGCCAACTGGCAAGCCACAAAGCTTGCAGTCAGTGTGCACACTTTATCTGAAATACTTCTGAGTGCCTGCGGTGCCAGTCTTACCTTTGGTACTGTTAAAAAGCCAAAGAAATTACTGGAAGAGATATTTAAACTGAAGTTGAGGTTGACTGCAATTAATGCGTGGTGAAAGGCACTTCAGCAGAGCAATCAAGGGTGGAAAGGGTTGCATCGAAAAGACAAGGTCGCAAAGGGCCTGGCTTGCCTCTTAGAGACAAGCATGATGGTAATAGAACTTTGTACCTTTTTTGAGCGTGCTGTGGTTCTGCAGTGGAGCTGTTTTGCTTGCTGTTTGACCTCTGAGTGACTTTGTTCTCCTCTGGGTTGGGATGGAAGAGTGGAATATGGTGGAAACAATCCTTACAAGCACAGATCAAGGGAGTGCAGATCAGCAGCAGCAGTAAGCTGCTGAACTGGCCTTTGGTAGCCCAAAGTAGCGGAATTTGTCTTGAAGTCTCTGCAACATGACCTCACAGAGCACTTCAAGAAAGGCCCACGCTCAGTGTGAGGCTTTCAAAAATGCATCCTAATTTCTATAATCTTGAATAGTATTTGTTGTAAAGCATTGCTTTTCCTTAACCACTTCGCATAATACATTTCACGGCTACTGTTGTTGGAGAGGGAAAGCACCAAATCCTGCCCATCGTGAGTAAGCCAAGAGGGTAACCATGGGAGCAGCGTTTGACTCCGCACTGGATCCTAAAACCCTCTGCTGAGAAAGAAAATAATCCAGGTTCCTTTGCAGTAGATGAAGAGCTGAAACAGGACATTGGGGTGGTTTTGTTTCGCTTGTCTGAATGAAAAGAAATTTGTATGATCAAGAAAACCATACGTATTGTAGATGCAGTTATACATACGGGTCAATTTTCCTGTAACTTAACGGTGTGGATTTGTGTGCCCTTTACAGGCATGAATAACCGTGAAGTCTTGGAGCAAGTAGAACGTGGTTATCGGATGCCATGTCCTCAGGACTGTCCCATCTCCTTGCACGAGCTTATGATTCACTGCTGGAAAAAAGACCCAGAGGAGCGTCCAACTTTCGAGTATTTGCAGGGTTTCCTTGAAGACTACTTCACTGCAACAGAACCCCAGTACCAGCCCGGCGACAACCTGTAAATCCCTGGTCTCCAGACTCTGTCATGAATTACCAGGTGTTTCTCAGCCCTGCCCCACCTGCCCTTCAGCTTCCAACTCCGTGATCGACTTCTCCAGAGTGCAGCATCTTCCAGCACCGCCGTGCACGGGAGGGTCTGAAGCTGGGAACTTCCGCAGCCCTTGCCTATGACCACTTGTCCTAATAATCTGAATGTTCTGGATGAAAAGGAGAAAAACACTCGTTTTTTCTTAATCAAAGACTCCAAAACTGCATTGTATTGATGTTATGTAAACTGCAAAACCTCTGTTCATTGTAAATAGTAACTCAGTGCCAATAACTGATCCTAGTGCTTTCCTTTTTTTAAAATGCAAAACCTATGTGATTTTAACTAGTCTCCTCCTGATTCAACTAAAAGTATTATTTTCCAGAAGTGGCCTCTTTGTCTAAAACATTTTTTTTCATGTTTTAACAAATAAAATGAAAAAAATCAGGACAGGTGTTTGGTTTTTTGCTTTTTTATATATAAAATATATGTAATATATATACATACCTGTACATACAGTATACGAGTGCTATTGCAGAGGAAACTCATTTGGAATTGAATGAATCCTGCTGCAGCAGTACCCAGAAAGCGCTAATTTTACTGCAGACATGAAAACACTGGTGGGATTCTGAAAGCCAGTGATCTAATTTTTGGCTTTTGCCAAGCATGATTTTTTTAAATTGGATTGCACTTTTTGTTTATGATTATGTACCTGTAGATGGTTGTAACTTTGCTCTTTCAGGAATCATGTGCTGTATTTACAGTAATGTTTCCAATGTTTGACAAGTGTGTGATGATTTGTTCTTGAAATTAAAGCGAACATATTTAAAGCAAGAAAACTACACCATCACCGTTTGAACTGGAAAATTGAAACTGCAAGGACTTCCTGTATCAAAACATGTATACTGAAATGTTTCGAAAAGATTTATTAAACAGTGTAACCACATTCAGATGGTCTTAAAATCATAGCATTTTAGCCATGTCCACCTGCTAAACTGTTGGTCATGCAACTAGGATTTTTCTGTTTTATGTGTAACATTTTTCCATTGTAAAATAAGTGTGTTAAATGTCCTGTACTGCTAATGAAATTACTTTCTCTGTGTCTGCAAGTTCTCCAGTGGAATTACTATGCACTTCTTTACATTTCGTGGGGGATGCACAGAACAAAGTATTACCTTTTCAGTTGTCTGTACCAGCCTTGAATTACTTACGTTTAACCAAAAAAAAAATTCCTTTCTATTTCTATTGAGTTTTTAATACTGAGTTGCAAATTTTAAAATCTTAATTACATTTTGTTATGGTTTATTTGCAAGTTTACATTTTAAAACTGTTTAACTTTCTTAATTTAGTAATTAAAAAAAAGAGCATTTTACATTTGGATAGTTGTTCTTTTGTTTAAACTGTGGAGATAATGGTGGAGTCGAGATTAAAACTTTTCAAGAAGGGGTGTCATGCCATTTGGGGCATCATATTTCATAGGAGTATGCAGACCGATTACCGATGGGACATCATTTTCCAAATTCTGAAGTCAATATTGTTTTTCAACAGCTGGAGTTCAACTGTAAGGAAGATGGTTGAATGCATAGCTAGTCTCTCATTTCTTTGTTCTACCAGCATTTATTCTTTAATAGTTCTGTTGCATTTAACGTGAATACTTTTACATTTACAAGTGTTTCAGGAAAAGATTTTCTATGCCTTGTATTGCTGTTATTGCTTTAAAATATTGCAGCCAAGAAAGACTTCCTGATAGTTGAAATTTTTTTTTAAATTATTTAATACTTAGATTGTGAATTCATATTCTGAATATTCACGTATTTCTAAAGAGAACCTTTTTCGGTTCCTGAAAACCAACCCAATAATGAATTGAGATTCAAAGAACAAATTGTCGTCAGTGTTTTAATATTTTGTATTACAAAACATTGACTGAAAATCCTCTTGCAAAGTAGGCTTCCACACTTAGCCTTTCTTGAAGTGTGAATTTATACGGCAATGTTGCTTGTTACCAGATTTCCATGATCAATTGGTTAACTTTTTACATGTAGAGTCTATAAGTAATGTTATGTACATGATATATTCAATGTCGCTGTACCTGTAGCTGTGGAGTGCTGTGGAGTACTGAGGAGGCCATCACTCCTGTTGGACTTTTAGTTTCCTCTTAGTACTTCAGAAGCGAGTCGTCCTCTTTTTCCCACAGCTGCCCCCCTGCCTTAAAATGTCATCCACTGAACTGAGGACTCCGTAGTAACTCAGCCGGCTGGCGAAGCCAAAATGCCACGTACTCAGGCCAGTGCTCGCTGGCAAAGCATGGCCATTCTGCCAAGTTCCTTAGCAGCCTTTGCTAGGCCACAGACTTCAGTGCAGTTTCCATCTGCAATGTGGGATGAGCCTAAAACGTTAGTTTTGCCTATGTTTCTTGTTGGAAGTAAGACTCAGATGGGGCATTGTTGGGGTTTTATGGCCTTTATTTCTGATTCTTGGGTTTGTTGTTTCTTGTATTGCATTCAGTCTATGAGTACCATGTTGGTCTCTGCCACGTCTCTGCCTGCAGCTGGCTTGTGTGCAGACTGGTGCCGCTGTTGAGTGGCAAATCCAGACCATTTCTCATCGGTGGCTCTTCTGCTTCTTTTTCTTAATGTTGGGAGTTTTGTTGTTTGGGTTTTTTAATCTCTCAAATAAAAACATTAGCAAAAATTCAAACAAGATTGTTAGCATTTTTGCTATAAATTAATAAAAACCTTTCCTTAAGCACTGCGTATACACCACAAATAGCTGTGTGGTGACTGTAAAAGTAGAATTATGAGATTAAGAATCTCCTGTTCCCTCCAATACTTTTTTTAACGTAAGGCTAAATAAATCCCATCCAGATAAAAAAAATTGGCCAAATGCTTCCCCCACCATCCCACCTGACTTCTAACCCATTGGTGGGTGGATGGTGAAGTTTCATAAATGGTGATCTACCAGCAGCTGAAAGGACACCGTGGGGTGACCCAGGCATCTCTAGGCCAAGCTTAATCCAATGACAGGTGGGAATGCAACGCTTCCGTGAAAGGGATGGTTGGTAGGATTAATGCCTGTTAACGTATTTCTATGGGAAGAAAATGACATGAGACTTGGTGGGTCTTCAAAAATGTCTGAAGTTTGTCAAAGGCACTAGCACGATGTTCTTTGGCTTTCTGCAAACAGTTCTGCTTAGTTCTGTGTGACGCTCAGGTTTTGATTTAATTACCACTGCAGAAAAGCGAAGTAAATACAAAATAGAAAAGTGATCAACTGCTAAAATTACAAGAATAGTCATAAATGGAGAAATCTGTCTCCAGTGCGAGTGTTTCCCCTGATGCCTCTAGACTGGCAAGGACTACCTGCAGACCGAGAAGGCAGATTGCTAAATGTATTTGACCTTGCCACATAACTTCAAGGTGAGTGTGAAGTTGCTCAAATTTACTGTAGCATGCACCATGCTTTTCTCAAATGCTGCAATAAAAAATGCAGTTCACTAACAACTGCTACCACATTGTAACCCGAGGGGTTTAAGGGCCTCACACGAGGCTGAGCCCAAGCATGCAAGAGCTATTAGGAGATATACAGTAGCTCCTCTTCTAATGCGTAGACAATATTCATTCATCAAAGAAGGCTTTTCCTGTCTAATGGGAAATTACCACCAGCAGTGCAGGCAAAAGGATATTTATTTTCTCCAGTCGTGTCAGTTTGAGGGTCTGTCTGTCTTTCAAGAATAATTGGAAGCCTGTTTGTAGCTCAGAAATCTCATTGTGTTCTGCAGGCTCGGTAAGCAGTGATTATAATTTCCTGTGACTCATACACAGGGAAATTTTATCACTGAAGGGGCTCTCGTCAGTTGGGGCGGCTTTCCCTGCCATCGTAACCGAAGAACGGGGCAATTCAATTTCGGATTTTGCTGGACGGACCAAACCAGAACCCGTGTCCTTTCAGCAGAAAAGGGGAAGAGGCCCCTTGCCAGGATGCCACGGGCCTAGGGTGTTAGTTTCTCCCTCCTGGTGCTTCTGAATTTGTCAGGAGGACTTCTGACAGCTAAAGCCAGGTTACTGAGATTCATTTTGAATGTTAGAGGGGAAATGCTAGCTTCACTTAAGCTGTGAGATAGTTTCTGTTGACTTAATACAGCCAGTGTTCTTACGTGTATGTATATATATCTGTATCTCAAAATGCCATTCACACACAAAAACATCTATACCTACACAAGCGTCAATCCATCGCTTTGTATTCCTCCCCTGCAGCTGAGTTGCTTAACAAAAATGTAAGACCGGGACGTGAGCAGATTAGAGGACACAATGGTGTTAACAACAAAAGAGCTTCTCTCTTCTTTTTTTCCCTGGCTCCCACTACGTGGTCGGTTATAATTCCTATTCCCAGGCCAGGAGAGGGGTAGGTAGCAGCAAGCACTGCTGCCGCAGCCCGGTGATGCTCTGGGTTTCTGGCTACTGCAAAGAGCAACCCGCAGCTGATTTCAAAGTCGGGGAGGGAAAACATTTCTCCCGAGGGCTTGGCTGCAGTTTGGGGTCTGCGGTGTGAGTGTGCAGGAGGGCTGAAAGGGGAGGAAAAGTGCCCTCCCAGGAAAAGCGGGTCATTAGCTGGTGGGCTGTGCATCATGTCGTGTAGAGGGAGATCCAAAGGCTGCAGCTCCAGCTGTGCTCGCCGCGCCGGTGTTTCGCTGCGCCCAGGGATTTAGGTGACAGGCTGGTGAGCGTGAGCTGCGGTTTCTGTTACCAAGTGTAAATATCTTCTCTGTTACAGGGTAGGGGTGAACAGTATATGTTCCAGAGGAGCAAAAAAAATCGCAGGACTGGTGTGCTAGTGACTGGAGGGCAAGTGTTGCATCTGCCTGGCCAGGCCAGATGGGAGTTTGATTGTTCGGCTCATTGTTGGGAATAACTCAGCATTAAGCTCTGTGAATAGTTAAAAGGGCAAAGAGCAAAGAAATGGGATTATCTCCTTCCTCTACAGCCGGGCTAGAGCTTGCCAAGGGCTCCAGTTTGCTTTTTTGTGCATCAGCATTTGTTGCCGAGCGCCCGCACCCAGAGTCTTGTGAAGTTTGCTCAGCTACTTATTGTCACAGCTTCACATACAATCCCGGAGCCCTGTAATGGATGGATCTTCATATGGAAAAAGAAGAAGGAAAAAAAGGATGGAGGGAAGATTTCCGACCACATTGTAGCCTTACGCGCTGACCCAGGGGTTCATCCTCATGCCCAAAAACCTGGCATCCCCCACGCTTAATTCACTGCCGCAGTTCGGGCTCTGGGCTGCCTTCCAGCCCCGCTACGGCTCTGGATTTCCCCAGCTAGAAGTTGCCACTCGTACAGGAAGGGTCCCTGGTGCTGGGAAAGGGGTGCAGTGATGCCGGCACACCCCTCCTGGCAC